TCACCAGGTAAGAGATGATCGTGTCTCTAAAAATGTGGTGACCGTGGGATTTTGCAGATATCTACCTAAGCAATAATGTGTTACTAGAAATGGTAGTACCAAGGTATTTTACAGTTACCCAGGAAAGAAATGATGTGTCCCCAGCAATGGCATTTAACCTGGTTAATTTTAGGTCTCCATGGATGGTAGATTTATCTAAATCTGGTAGATCTCATGGGCTTCTATAGGTATCCACATGAGAGATGATGTGTCACGAATTGTAAACAACGGCCACTATTGTTACCAAGGTATTTTATAAGTATCCAGCTAAGAGCTCTGGCTTTATGTATTTGTTAGATTTATGACTTTTTTGTTTGTGTTTTTATAGTATTTTTTTCTTTTCTTGAGAGAGTCTGGCTGAGGTAAGTGCTGATGCGTGCATAAACCACAGCACGCACCGTGGGACTGTCCCAGAGACCTGGTTCAGTGATGAGGTGTCCCCACACGTCTTCCTGCTGTGATTTCTTTCACAGGTACTCAGCTGAGAAATGATTGAGTCCTTACCAATCCCAGATCGGCCAGGTTTTCCCGTTTTCCGTTTCAACGAAAGTGTATGCTGAACCCTGTGAGTGTTGAGGGGCTGCAGGATGCCAGGTATTTATCTCTGCATTCCCCGCCCCCATGCTGCCCCTAGGATGGCTACAGGTGTCGAGAAATGGTGTTTTTGTGCTATCAGGGTCGACCTGGGATTACTGCAAGTATCCAAGTCAAGTGGGTGTGTCCTGTAAAGATGGAAATAATCAAGATTCTTTGCAGGAGTGCTGGCAGCAAACCCCATGTCCCTCTACACATACTTCTTCGTGCCTCTTTCAGGTTCCTACCATGACATCACAATAAATCTGACACAAGACCTTAATGGGAAGTTCGGCTGCTCTGCACGTCAGTGCTGATGAGGACCAAAAGCATCACACGGGCCACGCGAGGTTCAGTTGTCTAGATAAGTGATGATGGTGTCAGGCCTCCCTGTCGTTCCCATGATTTCACTTCAGGTGTCCCAGTTGGGATTGATAAGGGTACCTGGCACCCTAGAAACTGTGAGTTTTTTCTCTGTGTATTTCAGAGACAGTGCCTAACCATGTGAGCACGGCGGGACTGCAAATACCAGGTAATGATCCAGCATTCCCAGCCACAGCAGTGACTGTGGACATTTTACAGGTGTTCTGTAGAGAGAAATGCTATCTTCTGGAGCCACGACCCTGAGCCAGATGGGCCCCACCAGCATCCTGGTAAGAGTCATTGAATGATGGATGTGAGCATCATGATTTGCAGGTGTCCTGGTACGGCATCTTGTGTGTTTCTGAGGCATATGTCTGTATATGTTTTTCAGGTTCCCTGGAGGAAATCCTGACAAAAAGGAATCACCATCAGGGGACATGTCTGCTGTCTGGTTAGTGATGGTGTTCGCAGTAAACTCACCACAGACCAGGCGATCTCCACCTATCTAGGTAAGTGAGGTTCCTTTGCCTGAACAGTTTACCATGTGATGGGTTAATGGCCGTTATGGAAAGGAAGAGTAGTGACTCCCCGTTCTCCTCATCATGTGACCTTATTGATAACTGTCCTAGAGAGAATGTAAGATGTATGTGCTGTGTGAGTGCGGATTGATTGGCACATACCCAGGGAACCCACGTGGCACTGTGCATCACAGGAGTTTCTTCGGTGGAGTTACAGGGAAGCCAACCAGGGAAAGTGGCGTGTCCTACAATGGCCTAGACCTTGGAGGGCCTACAAGCATCCTGGTAGATTTTTGGCTCTTACAGTGATGATAGTGAGCAGGTGGCTTGCAGGGTTCTGGTATTAAAAGCAGTGTCCATAGACACATTGGTCACATACGTGATTTCAGATCAGGCAGGCAGAAGTCAGAGCATGAGGACAGCCTTAAGGTCTCTCCACGAGATTCACGGATTATTGTATTTGGTAGGAATTGAGGTATGAGATGATCATGGCTCTTATCATTGCAGTGACTGTGGTATTTTCAAGGAATCCAAGAAACAGATGATGGACGTGTTCATAACCATGATAGTGCCCATGGGATTTTGTAGCTATAGAATGAAAAGATAACAGTGGCCATATCCATGGTAATGTCTGTGGGATTTTATAAATATCCAGGTAAGAAATAAGTGTTTCTACTTAAGAAGTGAACATGGGATACTGAAGTTATAAAGGTAAGAAATGGTAAACCTGATTGTGTGGGTGACCGTGGTATTTTCTACACATCCAGATAAGGCTGGATGGTGACCCTAATTTGAGTATCAAAATTGGATTTTGTGAGGTAGGCACCTAGGAGCTGATGATATCCCTTCCCATGTGAGTGAACATGGCATTTTGTGGTATTCTGGATGTGGTGGCAAACCTAACCCCAAAATGACCATGAGGTTTGTCAGGGTCCTAGTAAAGAGAAGATGGTCCCCTTAACCATGAAAGTTATGATGTCATTTTGTCAGTCAGTAATTAAGAGATGATGGTGACCCTGCCACTCCAATGAATAAGGAATTTTGCAAGTCACCAGGTAAGAGATGATGGTGTCTCTAAAAATGTGGTGACTGTCGGATTTTGAGGATATCCAATCAAGGAATAATGTGTTACTAGAAATGATAGTACCAAGGTACTCAGCAGTTAGCCACGAAAGAAATGATGTGTCCCTAGCGATGGCATTTAATCTGAGTAATTTGTAGGTCCCCATGTATGGTAGGTTTTTCCAAATCTGGTAGAACACATGGCCTTCTGTAGGTATCCACATGAGAGATGACATGTCACAAAGTGTAAGTACTGCCACTACTGTAGCCAGGGTATTTTATAAGTATCCAGCTAAGAGGTCTGGCTTTATCTATGTGTTGCATGTTAGACTATCATGTTGTCTATTTTTTTCTTTTTTTTGAGATAGTGTCTGGCTGAGGTAAGTGCTGATGCAGGCCTAAACCACAACCCTCACCGTGGGACTGTCACAGAGACCCAGTTCAGTAGTGGTGTGTCCCTACACATCTTCCCACTGTGATTTCTTTCACAGGTACTCAGGTGACAAGTGACTGAGTCCTTACCATTCCCAGATAGGCCAGGTTTTCCCATTTTCTGTTTCAACAAAAGTGTATGCTGAAATCCGTGAGTGTTGAGGGATTGCAGGGAGCCAGGTGTTTATCACTGTATTCCCTGCCCCCGTGCTGCCCCTAGGATGTCTACAGGTGTGCAGTCGGGAAACGGTGGTTTTCTGCTATCACGGTCGACCTGAGATTACTACAAGTATCCAGGTCAAGTGGGTATGTCCCGAAAAGATGGAAATCATCAAGGTTCTTTGTAGGAGTGCTGTGGAAAACCCTGTGTCCTTCTACACATGTGTCTTCTACACATCTGATTTTGCAAGCTGCCAGAGAAGATACGATGGTGTCTCTAAAAATGTGGTGACCACGAGTTTTTGCAGATAACCAATTAAGTTATTTGCAAAACTAGAAATGGTAGTCCCAAGGCATTTTACAGTTACCCAGGAAATAAATGATGTGTCCTTAGTAAAGGCATTTAATTTGGGTAATTTGTAGGTCTCCATGTCTGGTAGGTATTTCTATATCTGGTCAATCTCATAGTATTCTGTAGGTATCCACATGAGAGATGATGTGTCACAAGTTGTAACCAAGTGCCAAGGTATTTTACAAGTATCTCACTTAAAGCTCCGGTGAATATAAGTTTTTGAAGATACCCAGTGGGGAATGATGTTGGCCTAAGCCGTGGTAATGCCCACTGGTAGTGCCCATATCTTGGTAATAGGTGGTGTGTGTCTGATTATGGTTGTCCCTATGGCTTTTTTTTTTTTTTTTCAAATTCCAGCAATATAATGAAGACAATCTTAACCACTCTTATGAACAGAAGATTTAGCAGGAATTGAGGAAAGAAATAATGTAGGCTTCAACCAAATGGACGTGATTAGATTTTAGGGATTCTAAATAAGTGATCATGGTGTCCCTAACAATGGGATTTTGCAGGTTGTAGTCAACAGGTGATGATGAATTTAACAGTAGGCGCAAACATGGGAATTATTGATACCTAGATAAGACATGATGTGGTCCTTAAACATATTACAGACCATATTATTTTTTAGATATCTACATAAACAATATGTCCTGAAATCTTGATGTAACCATTTTTTTTTTTTCACATTTAAAAAGTTGCTCATTCTCAAATATTTGTGCAGGGCTGATTTCAGGGTATAGGAATGCACCAGCAGCCGGCCCGATGGCTCACGCCTTAATCCCTGTACTTTGGGAGGCCGAGGCGGACAGATCACTTGAGGTCAGGAGTTCGAGACCAGCCTGGCCAACATAGTGAAACGCTGTCTCTATTAAAAATACACAACTTAGCCAGGCGTCCTGGCACATGCCCATAGTCCCAGCTACATGAGAGGCTGAGGCATGAGAATTGCTAGAACCCAGAAGGCAGATGTTGCAGTGAGCCAAGGTTGGGCCACTGCAGTCCAGACTGGGCGACAGAGCAGTTCTTTACCCCCCGCCCCCCATCCCCCCCACAAAAAGTAAGGCACCAGAGTCATGAAATAATGATCTTACCACAGAGGGCGTAAAAAACGAAACCTCGGAAAATATTACCATATTTGAAAAGACTTGTGGAAAATAATTAAGGACCAGGTAGCAGAAATTGTGATCAGAAGAAATAACATAAGAATATACTTAAGTGCACAGTACATAGTTGGAAGGCAAACTGTTTATCCTTCTAAAACCATTACTGTGATCAACACAGACAAGAGACACTTTCCTGAAAGGTTAAATTGGTTCATGAGAAATAAAAGCAACCAAAATGAGCCACATTATCTACAATAGAAGAGACCATATGGAAAAAGTTCTATGGCAAGAGCTAACTAGTTAGTATACAAAAAGATTCACGAAAAATGCCTCAACTTTAGACACGTTAGATATTGCACACTAAAAAAAAAAAAAAAACCAAAAAAAACCAAAGGAACATTTTGAAAGCTATTTTAAATTTAATTAATTGCTGAATGTCTCCTTGGCTACTAGTTGAACAATCATTATTTAGTCCCACATATCTCTCACCATTTTGTTTGCAGACCATCTAAAAGCCTTATTTCCTCATCTATTTGACAGATGACCAAAATGGGTCCTACAATATGATCACACAGGATAATCTTGGAAAGTATGACTAAATTATTTTTAACGGCATTATTTTTCTCCTTTGATTTTCAGATTCTTTCTCATAATTTCTAAAACAGTGTCGACAGCGGCCTGTACCATGTCTTCATTGACGTCATCACTGAGATCACTCTCAATTGCTCTCGAACTTGTTGTTGGCCTTTCGTGTAGATATGAACTGTGACCTGGCGGATCTGACTGTTGTTGCTGCTGCTTCTGTTCCTGCTGATGCTTTTCAAAATAGTCTTTTATTTTCTTTGGCTCTTCCGAAGCAGGAGTTCCACATGATGTCTTTGGAAGATCTTGCGATGTGTTTCTGGAACTACCTTGCATACTTAGTTCAATAGCCCTGCGGAGATCTTCATCTTCTTTATTGGTTTCTTGGCGGCTTAGTTCCAGGGCCCTCTGAAAATCCTGCTCTTCTTGGTCTGATGTTCCAGACTCATCACTTTCTTCTGACACTTTTTCAAGAATTGTTTTGTAGACTCTGTGGTCTTTTTCTTTGGCTAATTTTTTTCCATTAAGTTTTGGTCTATCCATCTCTTCAACACTGATGATTTGCAGCAGTTGGTCAGCTTCACAGTCTGGCAGATCCCCCTTAACAACAAATACAGAATATGCTTCCTGTTGCAGTTGAGTCAAGAAATTTGCAAGGCATGTATCTGATATTAATTCTGGACCCGCCAAGAGAGAATTCAAGTTAAACCAGTGTTTTCCGAATTTTCTAATAGTAAACCAGTGTTGTTTATAATTACATATAAAAGATCTTTCATTTATAGGATCAATCCCGAGCTTCTGATATTCAGGATTATTGAAATGGATGACCTCTAAACCCCAGAACTTCAAGGCATTGCATATTACCTGGATGGAGAAGAAGCCGCTATCATCCATGTTTTCTGAAGGCTGCTGTAAAAATGCGCGGTAGTCTTCACTAGTGACTCCTCCTTCTGCCATTCTCATCCTCTCTTCTTCATCTAGCTGATGTGCAATTGAAGCTAATTCCACAGGACTGAAATATTCTCCTTGCAGCAGATTATTCAGGCAGTGCTGAGCACAAAGGAAGCCTTCTTGTTTTTCATGAAAGATGAAATCCATGTTGATTCTAACCGTGAGTTTTTGTATATATGCGGGAACATGTTATATGCCCAGCTATGGCAGTTATCTGGGCAGTTTGTAGATAGCCATGAAATAGGTGTTAGGTTTTCAAACCTTATGAAGACCATGGGTTTCTGTAGGTATTTAAGTAAGAGATGATATGTCACAAAGCACTATTGTGACCAAGGTGGTTTTGCCAGTATCTAGTCAAGACCTGATGGTAAACCTAAAGTGAATATGGTGTTTTGGAGTCATCCCATAGGGGATAATGGTGACTTGAACCATGGCAGTGCCCATTGATTTTCAGATGTCCTATAAAATATAATGTCTCTTTAATTATGGTTGTCAGCATGGTTTTAGTAAGTGAATAAAGGTGAAATTTACCACAGTAGTAAACAGAAGATTTGGCAGGTAACTGGGAAAGAAATAACATGGGCTTTAACCAAACGGGTATCATGGGATTTTGGAAGTCTCTGGGTAAGTTATGATGTCACTGACCACAGTAATAGCCATGGAATTTTGAAGGTTCCACTCAATAGATGACAATAAAACTCACGGTAGCAATGAAGATGGGACTTTGCTGGTATCCTAGTTAGAGATGATGTGGGCCTTAAAAACATTAGTGACCAAATGATCTTCAGACATCTAGAAAACTGATGAAGATGTCCTGAACTCTTTTCATATCCATGTGTTTTTATAGGTGTTCAGATAAGAAATGTGTGTGCCCAACAAAAGTAGTAACCATTAGATTTTACTGTTTTCTAGTTCAGAGACAATCTCTCTCAAACTTAGTAGTGACAAAGATATAGCAGGCATCCAGGTAGGATATCACAGAGTTCCTTACCACAGTAGTAACTATAGGATTTTTGCAGGTGTCCAGTGAATAGACAGTGTGTGAAACTACTGTGTTGACCTTGGACTTCTCTAAGTGTCCAAGTACACTTAGTGATGCCCTAATGATCGTAGTGAGTGTATGCACGGAATGAGCAGGGGGCCAGATGGAAGGACATGCATCCTGACCAGGGTTACCATCATATGTTTTCTCAGCAGGTAGTCAAGAGATAATGGTGTCTCTAACTACAGCATTGGCCTCAGAACCTTAGGATTCAGGTAGAGTTCATGGTTCCCCTAACAATACTAGTCACCGTGGGATTTTTTGAGGTCCATGTAGAAGATGTATCCCTAACCACCACTGCTGCCATATGGTTTTGCAGGCTCCTATCAAGAGATAATGGTGAAACTCATATTGGTCATTTTTGTAGGCTTTCATGGAATCTAGCTAAGTGATTATGTGGACCTTAAACATACTACAGACCATCTGCTCTTCAGACATCTCGGTAAGTGATGATGATATCCTCAACGTGTGTTAGTATCGTGTGTTTTGCAGGTATTCGGGTAAAAAAAAAAAAAGATACTGGCTCTACCAATAAGTATTGGAATCCATGAGACTTAGCTTAACCAGTTTTCTGGTTTAGAGATATTGTGTGTTTAACCTTAGGAGTGAATGAAGAATTTTCAGGTATCTGGCAAGTCATCATAACTTTCGTCAAAACAGTAATGACCATGAGATTTTTGTCGATGCCCAGACAATAAATGATGGTGCCTGTACCAATGTGTTGATCTTCAGGTTCTGCCATTATCCAGGTAGCATTAATGAGTTTGTAAAGATGGAAGTGACAAAAGTTAATTTGCAGATGTTCTGCTAGAAAAAGTTGCATTCTTAAACACATCTGGCGCAATGTGTTTTTTCAGGTTTCAATCTAAAGATCAAGGTAACCCTAACAATGGGATTAACATGAAGCTTTGCTGGTATCCAGGCAACTGATGATGTCGGTCTTATCACACAGAAGACATTCAGACCTTCAGAAATTTACATAAGTGATGATGATACCTCTAACATTTGTGTTACCGTGTTTTTTGCTTTTTTTGCAGATATTCAGGCAAGAAATTGTAATGTTCCCATAATTCCCATTTAAGAATACACCCTTACTGCTTACTAGTTCAGAGATAATGTTTTGAAATCTGGCTAAGACTGAGGGATTTGTAAGTTTCCAAGTCAATTTTCATAGTGTTTCTCATCTCAGTATTGACCATGGTATTTTACATGTACCTAGTCAAGTGATTATGACATATCCATGGTTTTGACCTTGATATTCTGCAAGTATCAAGGTAAAGTTGATGGTTCTCCTACTGCTAGTGATTCTCATGAGATGTTGCATGGTCTAGGTGGGAAAAGGCATATCTCTAACCATGGCTGCCTTCATGGATGATGCTGAAACTAACAATGATAGTGAACATGGACTTAGCTAAAGAGAGGGAAAGGATGGTGTGAACCTTTACACATTAGAGAGCTTCAGATTTCAGTTATCTAGGTAAGTGTTGATGGTGCCTGTAATACTGTGGTTACAAGAATGTTGTTTTTATAAACAGGCATTCAGGTAAGGGCAGTGCTAATATAAAGGTGAGAAGTGATGTGGCATTTATACACTAGAGACCCGAATTTCAGGTATCTAGGAAACTGATGGTGATCATACCTGTAATAGTTACCTGGTTTGGTACAGGTTTGCAGGGAAGAAATGAACTGGCTCCACTAGTAAGAGTAAGCATGCGATTTTTTGTATTCTCGTTTAGTGCTAATTTGTACTTAACCCTAGTAGCAGTCGAGAAACCTACAGGTATCCAGGTAAGATATCACACTATCACCCCACTAGTGACCATGGGATTTTGGCATATATTTCTTCAAAGGAGAGAGGTGTCTTTATTAGGGTTTAACTTCACACCTTTGGAACTATCCAGGTAGCATTGATGAGTCACAAAAAGAAGTGATCAAGGGTATTTGCAGGTGTCCAGGTAGTATAAGAGGTGTATTAAACACATTTTTCACAATACGCTTTTCAGGCTCCTTTCATAAGATTATAGTGAGCTTAACAATGGCCATTAATGGTGGACAGGTATAATGAGATGTATATCAAATATAACATTTTTCATAATGTGTTTTTCAGGATTCTGTCAGAAGATTATGGTGAGCCCAATAATGGTAGTTGATGTGGGACACTGCTGGAATATAGGTAACTGATGTGGTAAGTTTAAGTCCCAGCACGTCTACTTGATTTTCTTGTATCTAGGTAAGTGATTAATGATGTCCCAAATACTCATTACTGTGTTTGTTTCTTTTTTCTTTATGTATTCAGTGATGAAAAGTTCTTACTAGTAATAGAATCCTTGAGTTCTTTCTTTTCACATTTTAGGGGAAATTTGTATAACTTTGTGAGTATTGAGGGATTGTCACAGTAATTCTCATTGTGTTTCCCACTACATTCATAATCATGGAATCTTTGCAGTTATCCAATCAAGAAATTATGATCTTTTCTAAAATGGTGTTTACCTTGGTGTACTACAAATATTCAAGTAGAGTTGATGCATCCAGTAATATTGGAAGTAACTAAGGTTAGTTGACAGCATCGTCATAGAAAATAAATTGTGTCCTTTAACATGTATTTTCTAAAGTATTTTTCGGGTTCCTGTCAAGAGAGCACGGGAAACCTAAAGATGGTGGTTAACATGGGACATTGCTGGTGTCCAGGTAAGTGATGATGTGAGCCATAGTGGTGGTGTTGGCCTGAAGGGGTGGCCTACCCCTCCACACCTTTGGTCGTTTCTCTTTAGGTGGAAGGAGAGACTTGAGAAAAGAAATGAGACACAGAGACAAAGTATAGAGAAAGAAAAAAGTGGGCCCAGGGGACTGGCGCTCAGCATACAGAGGACCCACGCCAGCACAGGTCTCTTGAGTTCCTTTAGTATTTATTGATAATTATCTTTACCGTCTTAAAGATAAGGGAGTGGCAGGACAATAGGATCATTGAAGGGAGAAAATTAGCAGTAAGACATATGGATAAAGATCTCTGTGACATGAATAATTTCAAAGGAAAACGCTGTGCCTTGATATGCATATGCAAACATCTCCATAAACCTCTTAGCAGCATTATGCCAGCAAGTCCCGCCAGCAAGTCCCACCAGCAAGTCCCACCTTATGCCGTAAGGCAGTTTTTTCCTATCTCAGTGAACAGAGCATACAATCGGGTTTTTACACCGAGATGTTCCATTGCCCAGGGACTGGCAGGATTTTTAACCAGCAAGCTGCCTTCAGGCACTTGTTTAACAAAGACACATCCTGCACAGCCCAAAATCCATTAAACCTTGAGTCACCACAGCACCTGTCTCTTGCAAGGATTAGGTTGGGGGTAGGGTCACAGATTAACAGCATCTCAAATACAGAACCAAATGGAGTCTCTTATGTCTACTTCTTTCTATACAGACACAGTAACAGGCTAATCTCTCTTTCTTTTCCCCACATTGGCCTCTACTCACTGTTGTCAGTTTTTGGATTTTTTAAAGTATTCAGGTACGAAATAATCTCCTTACTATTACTATTAACTATGTTAAGTTTGTTTTATATATTAATGTAAACTTATGTTTAGCCTAGTGAGTGTTGGATTTGCAGGTATCTACGTAATTCTTATGTCTTGCTTCTCAGATGTAACCCCGGAACTTCTGGAAGTGTGCAGCGAACAGAATGTGTTTTCACTAACAGTAGTGCAGACCATAGAATGCTACAAGTAATCAGAGTTGTTGGGTCCTGCCAAGGAGGAAGCCACCAACTTTACCATAGACGTTTAGGTGCAAAAAATTGTGTGCATAGGAACATTTGTAACAATTTGTTCTTCAGGTTTGAGTCCAAAGAACATGATGAATCTCAAAATGGTCATTCACAGGGATTCACCTGGTGCCCAGATAAGTGCTAATGTGAGCCTAAACCACAGCACAGGCCATCTGATCTTAGGCCATCTGATCTTCATGTATATAGGTAATGATGGTGTCACATTTTTTTGACTATGTGTTTATTGCAACTATTCAGCTAAGCACGAGATAGCCCTTAACAATTTGAGGAATCATGAATTTTCACTTTTTTCTTCTGTAGAGAATGTACAGTGATGAAGAACTGCACATATCTAGATAACTATCGTGGTGTTCCTCCTCCAGTAGTATCCATGGGAATTTTGAGAGTGTGGTCGGGAAACGATGTTCTTATCTGACAACGACACTTCCTTGGAGTACTTCAGATATTCAGGTAGTTAATGGTTTCTGCATGATGGCAGTGATCAAGGTTATTTTCAGGCATCCTGATAAAAAGGTTGTGTTCTTTGACACATATCTCAAATTATGCTCTTAGGTGCCTATCCAGAGATCACAATGGACCTAAAAATGTTTATTAACAGGAGAGATTGCTGGTGTCCAGGTAAGTGATGATATGACATTGACTCGTGAGAGACCTTTTGGTTTTCAGATACCTGAGTAAATGATATCCTTAAGATACATATACTAACATTTATTTGGCATGTGTGCAGTTAGAGAATTAGTCTCTATCAATACTAGTAAATATGAGATTGTCCGGCATTCTTATTTAGACATAATGCATATTTATCACTCAGAGCAATAGATGAATATGCAAGTATCCAGGTAATTTATGGTCTTATCTGTCACCAGGTTATTGGTCCTTTTGCAGGTATGCCTTCAAGAAAGGAAGGATTTTCTTACCATAGTTTGAACTTGGAATTGAGCAGGCATCCAGGTAGCATGGATGGGTCCTGAAATGATACAAGTGACCAAAGGACTTTGCAGGTGTCCAAGTATCTGAAGATATTTACCAAACGCATTTTCCACAATATCAAATGCATTTTCCACAATGTGTTTTTCTGATCCAAGTCAAGGCATCGTAGTGAGTCTGTGAAAGGTAATCAGGGAGTCTGTAAAAGGTGGGACATTGCTGGCATCAAGACAAGAGCTGGTGTGGGACAAAAGCACAGCACAGCACATCTGATCATCATGTGCATAAGTAAGTGATGACAGTGCCCCAAGCACCTCTTTATCGCCCTTTCCATGATTTTTTTGCAGGGGTTCAGGAAAGAAATCATAGAACCTGTATCAATTCTAGAAACCATGAGTCTTTGCTTTTCATGTATTAGGGAAAATGTATGGCAAACCCTCTGAGTTTGAGGGATTGCATGTATCTAGGCAATGATCATGGTGATTTTCACTACAGTGGAAACCACGTGATTTTATAGGTTTCCTCTCAAGAAATGATGGTTTGATATGACAACAGTGTTGTCCTTGCAATACTGCAAATGTCCAGGTAGAGTTGATTTGTCTCATACGGATGGAACTCTGCAAGGTTATTTGCAAGTGTCCTTCTGGAAAGCATTACATCCTTCAACACATATTCACATTGTGTTTCAGGTTCCTGTGAAGTAAATGTTACGAAACTAAAAGTGGATGTCAGTAAAGACATTTCTGGTCTAAGTAAGTGATGATGCACACCCTAACCCATCATGAGTCATCTGATTTTTTTATATCTAGGTAAGTTTTACCATTTGATTTTTGGTACGTATTCAGGCAAAACATGATAGTATTTTGTTAATTCTAGCAGGCATGTTATCACAGAGTTTGTATTTCACAGAAAATTTACATTTGACCAGGTGAGTGGTCAATGATTTCCATGTGTCCTTGAAAATATCTTGTAGCTCCCCATCAGAGTAGCAACCATGGGATATTATCAGCTGTGCAGTTATCACCACCCATGATGGTGTCTCTAACAAAGATGTGTTGACCTTGAATTAAAGCAAGTGTCTAGGTAGAGTTGATGTGTATTCCAAAATAATGGAAGCATTACAAGGTTGTAGGCAAGTACCCGGGGAGAACAAGTTGTGACCTGAAGCACATTTGTCTTATATGATTTTTCAGGTTCTTGTCAAAACTATGAGGTGAGTCACATAATGCTCAGTAATGAAACATTGCTTGTAAACAGGTAGTGATAACTGTTTGCTTCCTGTAATGGGGGTAATTACACAATGCAGAGCATTGGATTTTCTAGGTATGTAAAAGGGATCCCTGATGCTTAAGCTACTGTGTATTTTGTAGGTAATCCATTCAGGTTTTTGGGATAGTTTATAGAGACCAGGTAAGGTTGTATTAACATGTAAAACAGCTTGATATTTTCAGATATCAACTTTTATTAATGTTTTTCACAATATTAACTTAAACTTGTGTTTCACATTTATGCAGTTAAAAATAAATACGCCTCTAGTAATAACGAATAATCAAGAGAATTTATTGCATGTCTTGACAGATAATGAGTATTGAACACTTACAGGGCTACACAAATCCACAGGCATCTAGGTAATTGATTGTGTTGTACAACACCATGATATTAACAACTGGAATTATGCAGGGATCTAATCAAGAAAGTACAAGGATTCTTAAAAGGAGTTTTCCTCAAATTTCTACAAGTATCGAGGTACATTTGATGAATACAAAAATAAAAATGACCAGAAAAGATTGGAGGTATATAGGTAGAATGATATGTGTACCAGTCACACTATTCACAATATATATTTCAGATTTACATTAACATATCACATAAGCCTATCAAAACTAGGTAACATGGGACATTATTGGCGGAGGTAAGGGCTGATGCAGGCCTAAACTATAGCCCACAGCGTGGGACTGTCACAGAGACTAATTCACTGATGACGTGTCCCTACACGGCATCCCACCATGACTTTTTCCCAGGTATTCAGGTGAGAAATGATTGAGTCCTAACCAATCTCAGATACACCGGCTTTTCCCATTTTCTCTTTCATCCAAAGTGTGTTCTGACCCTCAGAGTGTTGAGGGATTGCAGGTAACCAGACGTTTATCACTGTATTTCCCACCCCGTGCTGCCCCTAGGATTTGTAGAGGTATCTAGTCGAGAAATGGTGGTTTTCTGCTATCAGGGTTGACCTAGGATTACTGCAAGTATCCAGGTCGAGGGAGTGTGTTCCATAAAGCTGGAAGTAATCAAGGTTCTTTGCAGGAGTCTGGCGGAAACCCTGTGTCCTTCTACACATATGTCTTGGAGCCTACTTCAGACTCCTACTGTGACATCTCAAAATCTGACACCAGTCTGCAGGACAGTGCAGATGAAGAACGAAAGCGTCGTACTAGCCCCATGACATTCAGCTGTCTAGGAAAGTGGTGATGGGTGTCCATCCTTCCTGTTGTTCCCGTGATTTCACTTCATTTGTCCTAGAAAGAAATGGTATGACTCCCTGGCATACTAGAAACTGTGAGTTTTCCTTCTGCATATTTCAGAAACAATGCCTAACCCCGTGTTCGCAGTGGAACCGTAAATACCTGGTAATTATCCGGTGTTCCTTCCCACAGCAGTGACCGTGGACATTTTGTAGGTGTCCTGTAGAGAGAACTGTTGTCTTCTGGAACCACGGCCCTGAGCTTGGGGTTCCTCACTAGCATTCGGATAAGAGTCCTTCAGTGATGGATATAAGCATCATGATTTGCAGGTGTTCTGGTAGAACACCTTGTGTGTTTCTGAGGCATATATCTCAGTATATGTTTTCCAGGTTCCCAGAAGAAAATCCTGAAGAACGGGACTCATGAACAGGGGACGTGTCTGCTGTCTGGGTAAGTGATTGTGTGCACCGTAAACTCATCACAGACAACCTGATCTTCACATTGGTAGGTCAGTGAGGTTCCTTTCTCTGAACAGTTTACCACATGATGAGTTTAGGGGTATTCCGGTAAGAAAGGGTGGTGGCTCCTTGTTCTCATTGCCATGTGATCCCATTGTTTTCTGTCCTGGAGAGAACGTATGAGGTATGTACCCTGTGAGTGCTGATTGATTGGCACGTACCCAGGGAACTCCAGTGGCACTGTGCATCACAGGAGTAACTAAGGTGGATTTGCAGAGAAGACAACCAGAGAAAATGAAGTGTCCTACGATGGCCTACCCCTTGGAGGGACCACGAGCATCCAGGTAGATTTTTGGCCCCCACAATGATGTTAGTGAGCGGGTGGTTTTCTGGGTTCTGCTGGAAAAGCTGTCTGTAGGCAGATTTCACATTCCCTTCCAGAGGTCAAGGGAACCCTCATTATGCCTGAGCAGGGGAACTCTGCCTGTATCCAGAGGGGAGATAGTATGGGCATAAGCAGGCCATGGACGATCCAATCTTCTGATACACAGGTAATCACCAATGGCATTCCTGCTATTTTTCCTGTCCTGCCGTGGGTTTTCTTGCTCATTTTCTGTTCTTTATTTTCTGCAGTAATTCAGTTAAGAAACAATGCTTTGCCAACCAAGGCTAATAAGCATTAGTCCTTGCTATGTTCGACTTGAGGATAATGTGCCTTGAACCTGAGTCCGTGTTGACTGCGGTAGATGCGGGTGTCCAGGTGAATTATCCTACTCTACCAGACCACAGGATGGAATGATAGTTCTGACACATCATCAGTCCAGAGCTGATAGTGGTGCCAACAGTGGGGTGGAAGTTGGAGTTCTGCCAGGATCTAGGTAAGGTTCCTAGATGACGGCAGTGACCAGCCTGTGTGGTGCGTGTCTTTTTCGTCTTTCAGGTATGCCAAGTGGCATCCTGGAAAACACCTGTCAGATGCGTTTCTTCTGCTGCTGCTAGTCATGAGATCAAGGTGGGTCTGAGAATGGCCATTCGGAGGCCCTGGATAGTAACCGGGTAATGGATGACACGAGTGCTATGCCAATACAGACCACCTGAACTTCAGATTTCCTGGACAAAGAGGGCACTGTCCTTGACACGGTGTTTTCCCATGGTTTCCTGCAGGTGTCCCATAAAGTCCTCTTCCTGTAGAGAGGTAGGAGATGTTGTGGCATTACCTCATGAAAGGCACTCTGAATTTCCCGCATGTAGATAATTAATGATGGTTTGAGTCTGGTAGAGTAACCTTGTGTTTGGCATATGTGTCATTGGGAAAAGATAATTAGTGATTCCCAATGCCAGTAAGCATGAGATTTTACTGTTTGCTTATTCAAAGGTAAGGGTTTGTGTGTGTGTGTGTGTGTGTGCAAATTTGACCCTCCATGTGATAAACGGATATGCCAGTGCTCAGGTAGTTGATCATATTGTCTGTCACCCCGATGTGGACCGTGCTGTTTCTCCAGGTATGCCTCGTAGGCTCTGGCTTAGATATCTTCAGTTATCTGGGTAACCTGGATGAGTTGTGAAATGATACCAATGAAGAAGCATATTTGTGGGTATCCTTGTAGCATAGGTTGTGGACCAAGCAGAGTTTCCCCAATATGTCTTTTAGATGAATGTCAGGGCATCACAGCAGGCCTTTCAAAGCTGGGTAACGTGGGGCATTGCTGGCTGAGGTAAGTGCTGACACAGGCCTAAACTGCAGCCCACAGTGTCGTACTGTCACAGAGGCTTAGTTCAGTGATGATGTGTCCCTACACATCTTCCTGCCGTGATTTCTTACGGTAAATGATGGTGTGTGCGGTAAACTCACCACAGACCAGGTGATCTCCATGTATCTAGGTTAGTGAGGTTCCTTTGCCTGAATGGTTTACCATGTGATGGGTAACAGCTGTTATTATAAGAAAGGGAAGCGGCTTCCCGTTCTCCTCGCCATGTGATCCTTTTCATTTCTGTCCCGGTGAGAATGTATAATGTATGTGCTTTGTAAGTGCTGATTGATTGGCAGGAGCCCAGGGAACTCACGTGGCATTGTGCATCACAAAAGTGACTGCAGTGGATTTGCAGGGAAGCCGGCCAGGGAAAATGGCATGTCCTATGATGGCCTAGACCTTGGAGGGCCCACAAGCATGCAGGTACATTTCTGGTTCCCATAATTATGTTAGCATGCAGGCAGTTTGTAGGGTATTGGTGGAGGAGCTGTGTCCATAGACCCGTTGGTCACCTGTTGGTTTCAGATTCAGGCAGGCAGAAGTCAGAGTGTGAGGACAGCCTTGAGGTCTCTCCAGGAGATTCAGGGTCCATAGGATTTGGTACGGATTCAGGTATGAGATGATGATGGCCCTCATCACCATGGTATTTTGAAGGAATCCAAGAAACAGATGATGGGCCTCTCTCATACTAACCATGGTAGTACCCATGGGATTTTGTAACTACAGAGTGAAAAGATGACAGTGGCCATATACCTGAGAATGTCCATGTGATTTTTGTAAATATCCAGATAAGATATGAGTGTTCCTACTTAGGAAGTGAACATGGGTTACTGAAGTTATAAAGGTAAGAAATGATAAACCTAATCGTGTGGGTGAGCATGGTATTTTCTAGATATCCAGATAACAGAGGATGATGGCCCTAACTCGAGTATCAAAGTTGGGTTTCCTCAGGTAGGCACATAGGAGCTGATGATGTTTTATACCATGTTAGTGAACATGGCATTTTGTGGTATTCCGGATATGATGGCAAATCTAACCACAAACATGACCATGAGATTTGTCAGAGATCCAGTAAAGAGAAGATGGTCCCCTTAACCATGAAGTTTATGATGAAATTTTGTAGGTCAGTAATTAAGAGATGACAGAGATCCTAACCGTGATACTGAACAAGGGATTTGCAAGTCACCAGGTAAGAGATGATTGTGTCTCTAAAAATGTGGTGACCGTGGGATTTTGCAGATTTCAATCAAGGAATAATGTGTTACTAGAAATGGTAGTACCAAGGTATTCAACAGTTAGCCACGAAAGAAATGATGTGTTCCTAGCAGTGGTATTTAATCTGGGTTATTTGTCGATCTCCATGTATGGTAGGTTTTTCCAAATCTGGTAGATCTTCTGGCCTTCTGTAGGTATCCACATGAGAGATGATGTGTCACAAATTGTAAGTAACTGCCGCTACTGTAACCAAAGTATTTTATAAGTATCCAGCTAAGAGCTCTAGCTTTATATATTTGTTGGATGTAAGACTATCAGGTTATCTATTTTTTTTCTTTTTTTGAGACAGCGTCTGGGTGAGGTAAGTGCTGCTGCAGGTCTAAACCACAGCCCACACCATGGGACAGTCAGAGAGACCCAGTTCAGTGAAGATATGTGTCCCTACATGCCTTCCCGCCATGATTTCTTTCACATGTACTCAGGTGAGAAATAATGGACTCCTTACCAATCCCAGATTGGCCAGGTTTTCCATTTTCTGCTTCACAGAAAGTGTATGCTAAACCCTGTGTGTGTTGAGGGACTGCAAGGAGCCAGGTATTTATCACTGTATTTCCCGCCCGCATGCTGCTCCTAGGATGACTACAGATGTCCAGTCTAGAAACAGTGGCTTTCTGCTATCAGCGTCGACCTGGGATTACTGCAAGTATCCAGGTCGAGTGGGTGTGTCCCATAACAATGGAAATAAGGTTCTTTGCAGGAGTGCTGGCAGCAAACCCCGTGCCCTTCTACACATACGTCTTCCTGCTTCTTTCAGATTCCTACCGTGACATCACAATGAATCCAACACGGGACCTTAATGGGAAGCTTGGCTGCTCTGCAGGTCAGCACTGATGAGGACCAAAACCATCGCACGGGCCACGTGAGGCCCAGCTGTCTAGGTAAGTGATGATAGTGTCAAGTCTCCCTGTTGTTCGCTTCAGGTATCCCGTAGGAAATGATAAGAGTACCTGGCTTTCTAGAAACCGTGAGTGGTCCTCTGCATATTTCAGAGACAACACCTAACCCTGTGAGCATGGTGGGACTGCAAATACCAGGTAATGATCCGGCGTTCTCAGCCACAGCAGTGACCATGGACATTTTGCAGGTGTCCTGTAGAGAGAAACGCAGTCTGCTGTGATCATGGACCTGAGCTTGGGTGTCCCACCAGCATCTAGATAAGAGTCATTGAATTATGGATGTGAGCATCGTGATTTGCAGGTGTGCTGCTGGAACACCTGAACTTGTGTGTTTCTCTTTTTTTTTTTTTGATAGAGTTTTGCTGTTGTCGCCCAGGCTGGAGGGCAATAGCGTGACCTCGGTTCACTGCAACCCCTGCCTCCTGTGTTCTAGAGATTCGCCTGCCTCAGTCTTCCGAGTTGCTGGGATTACAGATGTGCACCGCCATCCCCTGCTAAGTTTTGTATTACTAGTAGAGACAGTTTCACCATGTTGGGCAGGCTGGTCTCGAACTTCAGACCTCTGGTGATCCACCTTCCTCGGCCTCCTACACGGCTGGGATTGCAAGTATGAGCCACCATGCCTGGTCCCTGGTGTATTTCTGAGGCATTTATCTCAGTGTATGTTTTCCAGATTCCCACGATGAAATCTCGACAAACAGGAGTCACGATCAGGGGACATGTCTGCTATCTGGGTAAGTGATGGTGTGCATGGTAAACTCACCACAGACCAGGTGATCTCAACATATCTAGTTAAGTGAGTTCCTTTGCCTGAACACTTTACCATGTGGTGGGTTAACAGCTATTATGGAAAGAAAGGGAGGTGGCTCCCAGTTCTCCTTGCCATGTGATCCTTTTCATTTCTGTCCTGGAGAGAAAGTATGATCTATGTGCTTTGTGAGTGCTGATTGATTGGTATGTACCCAGGGAACTCATGTGGCATTATGTATCACAGGAGTGACTGTGGTGGATTTGCAGGGAAGCTGGCCAGGGAAAATGGCGTGTCCTACAGTGGCCTAGACCTTGGAGGGCCCGCAAGTATCCAGGTACATTATTGGCTCCCGTAATGATGATAGCAAGCAGGCAGTTTGTAGGGTCCTAGTGGAAAAGCTGTGTCCATAGACACATTGGTCACACATTTGGTTTCAGGTTCAGGCAGGCAGTAGTGAGAGTGTGTGTAGGCAGCCTTGAGATCTCTCCAGGAGATTCAGGGTCCATAGCATTTTCTAGGGATTCGGGTATGAGATGATCATGGCTCTCATCATTGTGGTGACCATGGTATTTTGAAGGAATCCAAGAAACAGTTGATGGGCCTGTCCCTAACCATGGTAGGGCCCATGGGATTTTATAGCTAAAGAGTGAAAAGATGAAAGTGGCCATTGCTCTGGTAATGTCCATGGGATTTTGTAAATATCCAGGTAAGAAATGAGTGTTTCTACTTAGGAAGGGAACATGGGATACTGAAATTATAATGGTAAGAAATGATAATAAACCTAATGGTGTGGGTGACCATGCTATTTTTTAGATATCCAGATAAGTGTGAATGGTGGTCCTAACTTGAGTATCAAAGTTGGATTTCCTCAGGTAAGCACTAAGAAGCTGATGGTGTTTCTTCCCATATTAGTGTACATTGCATTTTGTGGTATTCCAGATATGATGTCGAACCAAACCACAAAAGTGACCATGAGATTGTCAGGAGTCTTGTAAAGGGATTATGGTCCCCTTAACTGTGACAGTTATGATGTAATTTTTTCGTCAGTAGTTCAGAGATGACGGTATCCTAAGCACAGTGTTTCTTTTTTTTTGAGAGAGTCTGCCTGAGGTAAGTGCTGATGCACGCATAAACCACAGCATGCACCGTGGGACTGTCCCAGAGACCTGGTTCAGTGATGAGGTGTTCCCACACGTCTTCCTGCCGTGATTTCTTTCACAGGTACTCAGCTGAGAAATGATTGAGTCCTTACTAATCCCAGATTGGCCAGGTTTTCCCGTTTTCCGTTTCAACGAAAGTGTATGCTGAACCCTGTGAGTGTTGAGGGGCTGCAGGATGCCAGGTATTTATCTCTGCATTCCCCGCCCCCATGCTGCCCCTAGGATGGCTACAGGTGTCGAGAAATGGTGTTTTTGTGCTATCAGGGTCGACCTGGGATTACTGCAAGTATCCAAGTCAAGTGGGTGTGTCCTGTAAAGATGGAAATAATCAAGATTCTTTGCAGGAGTGCTGGCAGCAAACCCCATGTCCCTCTACACATACTTCTTCGTGCCTCTTTCAGGTTCCTACCATGACATCACAATAAATCTGACACAAGACCTTAATGGGAAGTTCGGCTGCTCTGCACGTCAGTGCTGATGAGGACCAAAAGCATCACACGGGCCACGCGAGGTTCAGTTGTCTAGATAAATGATGATGGTGTCAGGCCTCCCTGTCGTTCCCATGATTTCACTTCAGGTGTCCCAGTTGGGATTGATAAGGGTACCTGGCACCCTAGAAACTGTGAGTTTTTCCTCTGCGTATTTCAGAGACAGTGCCTAACCATGTGAGCACGGCGGGACTGCAAATACCAGGTAATGATCCAGCGTTCCCAGCCACAGCAGTGACTGTGGACATTTTACAGGTGTTCTGTAGAGAGAAATGCTATATTCTGGAGCCACGGCCCTGAGCCGGATGGCCCCACCAGCATCCTGGTAAGAGTCATTGAATGATGGATGTGAGCATCATGATTTGCAGGTGTCCTGGTACGGCATCTTGTGTGTTTCTGAGGCATATGTCTGTATATGTTTTTCAGGTTCCCTGGAGGAAATCCTGACAAAAAGGAATCACCATCAGGGGACTTGTCTGCTGTCTGGTTAGTGATGGTGTTCGCAGTAAACTCAGCACAGACCAGTCGATCTCCACCTATCTTGGTACGTGAGGTTCCTTTGCCTGAACAGTTTACCATGTGATGGGCTAACGGCTATTATGGAAAGGAAGAGTAGTGACTCCCTGTTCTCCTCGCCATATGATCCTGTCAATTTCTGTCCTAGAGAGAATATAAGATGTATGTACTCTGTGAGTGTGGATTGATTGGCACGTACCCAGGGAACCCACATGGCACTGTGCATCACAGAAGTAACTTCGGTGGAGTTACAGGGAAGCCGGCCAGGGAAAGTGGCGTGTCCTACAATGGCCTAGAACTTGGAGGGCCCACAAGCATCCTGGTAGATTTTTGGCTCTTACAGTGATGATAGTGAGCAGGTGGCTTGCAGGGTTCTGGTATTAAAAGCAGTGTCCATAGACACATTGGTCACGTATGTAGTTTCAGGCTCAGGCAGGCAGAGGACAGCCTTGAGATCTGTCCACAAGATTCACTGATTATCATATTTGGTAGGGATTCAGGTGTGAGATGATCATGACTCTCAACATTGTGACCATAGTATTTTGAAGGAATACGAGAAACAGATGATGGACATGTCCCTAACCGTGGTAATGCCCATGGGATTTTGTAGCTATAGGGTGAAAAGATGACAGTGGCCATATCTATGGTAATGTCTGTGGAATTTTGTATATATCCAGGTAAGAAATGAGAGTTTCTACTTAGGAAGTGAACATAGGATACTGAAGGTATAAAAGTAAGAAATAATGATAAACCTAATCCTGTGGGAGACCATGGTATTTTCTACATATCCATATAAGAGTGGATGGTGACCCTAACTCGAGTATCAAAATTGGGTTTCCTCAGGTAGACACGTAGGAGCTGATGATGTCCCTTCCCATATGAGTGAACATGACATTTTGTATTCCGGATATGGTGGCAAACCTAACCCCAAAATGACTATGAGGTTTGTCAGGGGCCTAGTAAAGAAAAAATGGTCCCCTTAACCGTGAAGGTTATATGCAAATTATTCGATCAGTAATTAAGAGGTGACGGTGACCCTACCCCTCCAATGAACAATGAATTTTGCAAATCACCAGGTAAGAGATAATGGTGTCTCTAAAAATGTGGTGACCATGGGATTTTGAGGATATCCAATCAAGGAGTAATATGTTACTAGAAATGGTAGTCCCAAGGTATTTTACAGTTACCCAGGAAATAAATGATGTGTCCTTAGCAATGGCATTTTATTTGAGTAATTTGTAGGTATCCATGTCTGGTAGGTATTTCTATATCTGGTCGATCTCATGATCTTCTGTAGGTATCCACATGAGAGATGATGTGTCACAAATTGTAACCAAGTGCCAAGGTATTTTACAAGTATCTCACTTAAAGCTCTGGTGAATATAAGTTTTTGAAGATACCCAGTAGGGAATGATGTTGGCCTAAGCCGTGGTAATGCCCACAAGTAGTGCCCATATCTTGGTAACAGGTGGTGTGTGTCTAATTATGGTTGTCACCATGGCTTTTTTTTCAAATTCCAGCAATATAATGAAGACAATCTTAACCACTCTTATGAACAGAGGATTTAGCAGGAATTGAGGAAAGAAATAGGCCGGGCGTGGTGGCTCAAGCCTGTAATCCCAGCACTTTGGGAGGCCGAGACGGGCGGATCACGAGGTCAGGAGATCAAGACCATCCTGGCTAACACGGTGAAACCGCGTCTCTACTAAAAAATACAAAAAACTAGCCGGGCAAAGTGGCGGGCGCCTGTAGTCCCAACTACTTGGGAAGCTGAGGCAGGAGAATGGCGTGTACCCAGGAGGCGGAGCTTGCAGTGAGCTGAGATCCGGCCACTGCACTCCAGCCAGGGCGACAGAGCATGACTCCGTCTCAAAAAAAAAAAAAAAAAAAAGAAATAATGTGGTCTTTAACCAAGTGGACATGATTAGATTTTAGAGATTTCTAAATAAGTGATCATGGTGTCCCTAACCACGGGATTTTGCAGGTTGTAGTCAACAGGCGATGATGAATTTAACAATAGGCGCAAACATGGGATTTCTTGATACCCAGGTAAGACATGATGTGGTCCTTAAACGTATTACAGACCATATGATTTTTTAGATATCTAGATAGCAATAATATGTCCTGAAATCTTGATGTTACCTTTTGTTCAGACTTAAAAAGTTGCTCATTCTCAAATATTTGTGCAAGGCTGATTTCAGAGTGTAGGAATGCACCAGCAGCCAGCCCAGTGGCTCACGCCTTAATCTCTACACTTTGGGAGGCCAAGGCGGGCAGATCACTTGAGGGCAGGAGTTCGAGACCAGCCTTGCCATCATAGTGAAACCCCGTCTCTACTAAAAGTACAAAATTTAGCTGGGCGTCCTCGCATATGCCTGTAGTCCCAGCTACTCAGGGGGCTGAGGCACGAGAATCATTTGAATCCAGAAGGCAGATGTTGCAGTGAGCCGAGGTTGGGCCACTGCAGTCCAGACTGGGCAACAGAGCAAGTCTTTGCCCCCCTCACCACGCTCCCCAAAGAAAGAAAGAGTAATGCACCAGAGTCATGAAATAACGATCTTAGCACATAGGGCGTAAAAAGCAAAACCTCAGAAAGTATTACCATATTTCAAAAGACTTGTGGAAAATAATTAAGGACCAGGTAGCAGAAATTGTGATCAGAAGAAATAACATAAGAATATACTTAAGTGCACAGTACATAGTTGGAAGGCAAACTGTTTATCCTTCTAAAACCATTACTGTGATCAACACAGACAAGAGACACTTTCCTGAAAGGTTAAATTGGTTCATGAGAAATAAAAGCAACCAAAATGAGCCACATTATCTACAATAGAAGAGACCATATGGAAAAAGTTCTATGGCAAGAGCTAACTAGTTAGTATACAAAAAGATTCACGAAAAATGCCTCAACTTTAGACACGTTAGATATTGCACACTAAAAAAAAAAAAAAAAAACCAAAAAAAACCAAAGGAACATTTTGAAAGCTATTTTAAATTTAATTAATTGCTGAATGTCTCCTTGGCTACTAGTTGAACAATCATTATTTAGTCCCACATATCTCTCACCATTTTGTTTGCAGACCATCTAAAAGCCTTATTTCCTCATCTATTTGACAGATGACCAAAATGGGTCCTACAATATGATCACACAGGATAATCTTGGAAAGTATGACTAAATTATTTTTAACGGCATTATTTTTCTCCTTTGATTTTCAGATTCTTTCTCATAATTTCTAAAACAGTGTCGACAGCGGCCTGTACCATGTCTTCATTGACGTCATCACTGAGATCACTCTCAATTGCTCTCGAACTTGTTGTTGGCCTTTCGTGTAGATATGAACTGTGACCTGGCGGATCTGACTGTTGTTGCTGCTGCTTCTGTTCCTGCTGATGCTTTTCAAAATAGTCTTTTATTTTCTTTGGCTCTTCCGAAGCAGGAGTTCCACATGATGTCTTTGGAAGATCTTGCGATGTGTTTCTGGAACTACCTTGCATACTTAGTTCAATAGCCCTGCGGAGATCTTCATCTTCTTTATTGGTTTCTTGGCGGCTTAGTTCCAGGGCCCTCTGAAAATCCTGCTCTTCTTGGTCTGATGTTCCAGACTCATCACTTTCTTCTGACACTTTTTCAAGAATTGTTTTGTAGACTCTGTGGTCTTTTTCTTTGGCTAATTTTTTTCCATTAAGTTTTGGTCTATCCATCTCTTCAACACTGATGATTTGCAGCAGTTGGTCAGCTTCACAGTCTGGCAGATCCCCCTTAACAACAAATACAGAATATGCTTCCTGTTGCAGTTGAGTCAAGAAATTTGCAAGGCATGTATCTGATATTAATTCTGGACCCGCCAAGAGAGAATTCAAGTTAAACCAGTGTTTTCCGAATTTTCTAATAGTAAACCAGTGTTGTTTATAATTACATATAAAAGATCTTTCATTTATAGGATCAATCCCGAGCTTCTGATATTCAGGATTATTGAAATGGATGACCTCTAAACCCCAGAACTTCAAGGCATTGCATATTACCTGGATGGAGAAGAAGCCGCTATCATCCATGTTTTCTGAAGGCTGCTGTAAAAATGCGCGGTAGTCTTCACTAGTGACTCCTCCTTCTGCCATTCTCATCCTCTCTTCTTCATCTAGCTGATGTGCAATTGAAGCTAATTCCACAGGACTGAAATATTCTCCTTGCAGCAGATTATTCAGGCAGTGCTGAGCACAAAGGAAGCCTTCTTGTTTTTCATGAAAGATGAAATCCATGTTGATTCTAACCGTGAGTTTTTGTATATATGCGGGAACATGTTATATGCCCAGCTATGGCAGTTATCTGGGCAGTTTGTAGATAGCCATGAAATAGGTGTTAGGTTTTCAAACCTTATGAAGACCATGGGTTTCTGTAGGTATTTAAGTAAGAGATGATATGTCACAAAGCACTATTGTGACCAAGGTGGTTTTGCCAGTATCTAGTCAAGACCTGATGGTAAACCTAAAGTGAATATGGTGTTTTGGAGTCATCCCATAGGGGATAATGGTGACTTGAACCATGGCAGTGCCCATTGATTTTCAGATGTCCTATAAAATATAATGTCTCTTTAATTATGGTTGTCAGCATGGTTTTAGTAAGTGAATAAAGGTGAAATTTACCACAGTAGTAAACAGAAGATTTGGCAGGTAACTGGGAAAGAAATAACATGGGCTTTAACCAAACGGGTATCATGGGATTTTGGAAGTCTCTGGGTAAGTTATGATGTCACTGACCACAGTAATAGCCATGGAATTTTGAAGGTTCCACTCAATAGATGACAATAAAACTCACGGTAGCAATGAAGATGGGACTTTGCTGGTATCCTAGTTAGAGATGATGTGGGCCTTAAAAACATTAGTGACCAAATGATCTTCAGACATCTAGAAAACTGATGAAGATGTCCTGAACTCTTTTCATATCCATGTGTTTTTATAGGTGTTCAGATAAGAAATGTGTGTGCCCAACAAAAGTAGTAACCATTAGATTTTACTGTTTTCTAGTTCAGAGACAATCTCTCTCAAACTTAGTAGTGACAAAGATATAGCAGGCATCCAGGTAGGATATCACAGAGTTCCTTACCACAGTAGTAACTATAGGATTTTTGCAGGTGTCCAGTGAATAGACAGTGTGTGAAACTACTGTGTTGACCTTGGACTTCTCTAAGTGTCCAAGTACACTTAGTGATGCCCTAATGATCGTAGTGAGTGTATGCACGGAATGAGCAGGGGGCCAGATGGAAGGACATGCATCCTGACCAGGGTTACCATCATATGTTTTCTCAGCAGGTAGTCAAGAGATAATGGTGTCTCTAACTACAGCATTGGCCTCAGAACCTTAGGATTCAGGTAGAGTTCATGGTTCCCCTAACAATACTAGTCACCGTGGGATTTTTTGAGGTCCATGTAGAAGATGTATCCCTAACCACCACTGCTGCCATATGGTTTTGCAGGCTTCTATCAAGAGATAATGGTGAAACTCATATTGGTCATTTTTGTAGGCTTTCATGGAATCTAGCTAAGTGATTATGTGGACCTTAAACATACTACAGACCATCTGCTCTTCAGACATCTCGGTAAGTGATGATGATATCCTCAACGTGTGTTAGTATCGTGTGTTTTGCAGGTATTCGGGTAAAAAAAAAAAAGATACTGGCTCTACCAATAAGTATTGGAATCCATGAGACTTAGCTTAACCAGTTTTCTGGTTTAGAGATATTGTGTGTTTAACCTTAGGAGTGAATGAAGAATTTTCAGGTATCTGGCAAGTCATCATAACTTTCGTCAAAACAGTAATGACCATGAGATTTTTATCGATGCCCAGACAATAAATGATGGTGCCTGTACCAATGTGTTGATCTTCAGGTTCTGCCATTATCCAGGTAGCATTAATGAGTTTGTAAAGATAGAAGTGACAAAAGTTAATTTGCAGATGTTCTGCTAGAAAAAGTTGCATTCTTAAACACATCTGGCGCAATGTGTTTTTTCAGGTTTCAATCTAAAGATCAAGGTAACCCTAACAATGGGATTAACATGAAGCTTTGCTGGTATCCAGGCAACTGATGATGTCAGTCTTATCACACAGAAGACATTCTGACCTTCAGAAATTTACATAAGTGATGATGATACCTCTAACATTTGTGTTACTGTGTTTTTTGGGGTTTTGCAGATATTCAGGTAAGAAATTATAATGTTCCCATAATTCCCATTTAAGAATACACCCTTACTGCTTACTAGTTCAGAGGTAATGTTTTGAAATCTGGCTAAGACTGAGGGATTTGTAAGTTTCCAAGTCAATTTTCATAGTGTTTCTCATCTCAGTATTGACCATGGTATTTTTACATGTACCTAGTCAAGTGATTATGATATATCCATGGTTTTGACCTTGATATTCTGCAAGTATCAAGGTAAAGTTGATGGTTCTCCTACTGCTAGTGATTCTCATGAGATGTTGCATGGTCTAGGTAGAAAAAGACGTATCTCTAACCATGGCTGCCTTCATGGGGTTTTTTTTAGGTGCTGTCAGTGGATGATGCTGTAACTAACAGTGATAGTGAACATGGACTTAGCTAAAAGAGAGGGAAAAGATGGTGTGAGCCTTTACACTTTAGAGAGCTTCAGATTTCAGTTATCTAGGTAAGCGTTGATGGTGCCTGTAATACTGTGGTTACAAGAATGTTGTTTTTATAAACAGGCATTCAGGTAAGCACAGTACTAATATAAAGGTGAGAAATGATGTGGCATTTATACACTAGAGACCCAAATTTCAGATATCTAGGAAATTGATGATGGTGATCATACCTGTAATAGTTACCTGGTTTCGTATAGTTTTGCAGGGAAGAAATGAACTTGCTCCACTAATAAGAATAAGCGTGCGACTTTCTGTATTCTTGCTTAGTGCTAATTTGTACTTAACCCTAGTAGCAGTCGAGAAACCTGCAGGTATCCAGGTAAGATATCACACTGTCTATCACCTCACTAGTGACCACTGGATTTTGGCAGGTATTTCTTCAAAGGAGAGAGGTGTCTTTATTAGGGTTTAACTTCACATCTTTGAAACTATCCAGGTAGCATTGATGAGTCACAAAAAGAAGTGATCAAGGGTATTTGCAGGTGTCCAGGTAGTATAAGAGATGTGTTAAACACATTTTTCACAATATGCTTTTCAGGCTCCTTTCATGAGATTATAGTGAGCTTAACAATGGCCATTAATGGTGGACATTATGAGTGTCTGGTAAGTGATGAGGTGTGCTTAATGCACAGTGAAAACATTTGACCTTCATATAAGAAGGTAAGTGATCAAAGTGCCCCTAACACTTTTGCTTGCTTGTTTATTTTGAAGATACTGAGATAAGAAACCATAGTCCTTACCAATGTTAGGAACCATGAGTTCTTAGTTTTACATATTTTGGAAAATTTATCTTTAATCCTGTGGATACTGAGTCATTGCCGTATCCAGATAATTTTCATGGTGTTCCTCACCACAGTAGTAACCATCGGATTTTTGCAGATATCCAGTCAAGAAAGAATGGTTTCATCTGGCAACATTGTTGACCTGGAGTACTACAAATGTCCAGCTAGAGTGTATATGTCCCATAATGATGGAAGTGACAAAAGTTATTGGCAAGCATCATGCTGTAAAAAGTGTCTTTTCACACATATTTCGAAATGTGTTTTTCAAATTCCTGTCAAGAGATGGTGGTGAACCTAACAATGGCTATTAACATGGTAGGTGTTGATGTGGGTCTTTCACACTACAGAACATCTAATCTTCACATACCTAGGTCAGTGATGATGCTGTCCCTAGTACTAGTATTACCATGTTTTTATTTTCAGCTATCAGGCAATGGCTTTACTAGTATAGAAGTAAGAACTAATGCGACTTTTATATGGTAGAGACCTTCCTATTTTCAGATATACAGGTAATTAATGATGGTGTTGACAACTCTGATACTAATCTTATTTTTTGGCTGGTTTGCATAGAAGAAATTAATTTTGTCTAACAGTACAAATAAGCATGAGTGATTTTACTGTATTCTTATGTAGAGCTAACGTGTATTTAATAATCATAGTGTTAGATGGACCTGTAGGTATCCAGCTAATTTATCATATTTTTCATCACCACAGAATGACCATGGGATTTCTGCAGGTATCCATTTAAGAGAGGGAAGTGTCTCTTACTAGATTTTGACACTGGAGTTCTGCAAGTGTTCAAGTAATGTTGATGGATCCCAAAATGACAGAAATGACCAGGGGAATGTGCAGGTGACCAGGTATAATCGGATGTATATCAAATATAACATTTTTCATAATGTGTGTTTCAGGATTCTGTCAGGAGATTATGGTGAGCCCAATAATGGTAGTTGATGTGGGACTGCTGGAATATAGGTAACTGATGTGGTAAGTTTAAATCCCAGCACATCTACTTGATTTTCTGTATCTAGGTAAGTGATTAATGATGTCCCAAATACTCGTTACTGTGTTTGTTTCTTTTTTCTTTATGTATTCAGTGATGAAAAGTTCTTACTAGTAATAGAATCCATGAGTTCTTTCTTTTCACATTTTAGGGGAAATTTGTATAACTTTGTGAGTATTGAGGGATTGTCACAGTAATTCTCATTGTGCTTCCCACCACATTCGTAACCATGGAATCTTTGCAGTTATCCAATCAAGAAATTATGGTCTTTTCTAAAATGGTGTTTACCTTGGTGTACTACAAATATTCAAGTAGAGTTGATGCATCCAGTAATACTGGAAGTAACTAAGGTTAGTTGACAGCATCCTCATAGGAAATAAATTGTGTCCTTTAACATGTATTTTCTAAAGTTTTTTTCAGGTTCCTGTCAAGAGAGCACGGGGAACCTAAGATGGTGGTTAACATGGGACATTGCTGGTGTCCAGGTAAGTGATGATGTGAGCCATAGTGGTGGTGTTGGCCTCTACTTATTGTTGTCAGTTTTTGGATTTTTTAAAGTATTCAGGTACGAAATGATAATCTCCTTACTATTACTATTAACTATGTTAAGTTTGTTTTATATATTAACGTAAACTTATGTTCAGCCTAGTGAGTGTTGGATTTGCAGGTATCTACGTAATTCTTATGATGTCCTGCTTCTCAGATGTAACCCCGGGACTTCTGGAAGTGTGCAGCGAACAGAATGTGTTTTCACTAACAGCAGTGCAGACCGTAGAATGCTACAAGTAATCAGGTAGAGTTGATGGGTCCTGCCATGGAGGAAGCCGCCAACGTTGTCCTTAGCTGTTCAGGAGGAAAAAATTGTGTGCATAGGAACATTGGTAGCAATTTGTTCTTCAGGTTTCAGTCCAGAGAACATGATGAACTTCAAAATGGTCATTCACAGGAATTCACCTGGTGCCCAGGTAAGTGCTGATATGAGCCTAAACCACAGCACAGGCCATCTGATCTTAGGCCATCTGATCTTCATGTATATAGGTGATGATGGTGTCACATTTTTTTGACTATGTGTTTATCACAACTATTCTGCTAAGCACGAGATAACCCTTAACAATTGGAGGAACCATGAATTTTCACTTTTTTCTTCTGTAGAGAATGTATGCTCAACCCTTTTAGTGATGAAGAACTGCACATATCTAGATAACTATCGTGGTGGTCCTCCTCCAGTAGAATTCATGGGAATTTTAAGAGTGTAGTCAGGAAACGATGTTCTTATCTGACAATGGCACTTCCTTGGAGTACTTCAGATATTCAGATAGAGTTGATGGTTTCTGCATGATGGCAGTGATCAAGGTTATTTTCAGGCATCCTGATAAAAAGGTTGTGTTTTTCGACATGTATCTCAAATTATGCTTTTCAGATGCCTGTCCAGAGATCGCAAAGGACCTAAATATGTTTGTTAACCGGAGACGTTGCTGGTATCCAGGTAAGTGATGATAGGACATTGACTCATGAGAGACCTTCTGAATTTCAGATATCTGAGCAGTTAATGATATCCTTAAGACACATATATTAACATTGTTTTTGGCATGTGTGTAGTTAGAGAATTAGTTCTTAACAATACTAGTAAACATAAGATTCTCCTGTATTCTTATTTAGAGATAACGCATATTCATCACTCAGAGCAACAGATGAATATGCAGGTATCCAGGTAATTTATAGTCTTATCTATCACCAGGTTATTGGTCATTTTGCAGGTATGCCTTCAAGAGATGAAGGAGTTTCTTACCTTGGTTTCAAGTTGGAATTGAGCAGGCATCCAGGTAGCATCGATGGGTCCTGAAATGATACAAGTGACCAAAGGACTTTGCAGGTGTCCAAGTATCTGAAGATATTTACCAAACGCATTTTCCACAATATCAAATGCATTTTCCACAATGTGTTTTTCTGATCCAAGTCAAGGCATCATAGTGAGTCTGTGAAAGGTAATCAAGGAGTTTGTAAAAGGTGGGACATTGCTGGCATCAAGGCAAAGCTGGTGTGGGACAAAAGCACAGCACAGCACATCTGATCATCATGTGCATAGGTAAGTGATGACAGTGCCCCAAGCACCTCTTTATCGCCCTTTCCATGATTTTTTTGCAGGGGTTCAGGAAAGAAATCATAGAACCTGTATCAATTCTAGAAACCATGAGTCTTTGCTTTTCATGTATTAGGGAAAATGTATGGCAAACCCTCTGAGTTTGAGGGATCGCATGTATCCAGGCAATGATCATGGTGATTTTCACTACAGTGGAAACCACGTGATTTTATAGGTTTCCTCTCAAGAAATGATGGTTTGATATGATAACAGTGTTGTCCTTGCAATACTGCAAATGTCCAGGTAGAGTTGATTTGTCTCATACGGATGGAACTCTGCAAGGTTATTTGCAGGTGTCCTTCTGGAAAGCATTACATCCTTCAACACATATTCACATTGTGTTTCAGGTTCCTGTGAAGTAAATGTTACGAAACTAAAAGTGGATGTCAGTAAAGACATTTCTGGTCTAAGTAAGTGATGATGCACACCCTAACCCATCATGAATCATTTGATTTTTTTATATCTAGGTAAGTTTTACCATTTGATTTTTGGTACGTATTCAGGCAAAACATGATAGTATTTTGTTAATTCTAGCAGGCATGTTATCACAGAGTTTGTATTTCACAGAAAATTTACATTTAACCAGGTGAGTGGTCAATGATTTCCATGTGTCCTTGAAAATATCTTGTAGCTCCCCATCAGAGTAGCAACCATGGGATATTATCAGCTGTGCAGTTATCACCACCCATGATGGTGTCTCTAACAAAGATGTGTTGACCTTGAATTAAAGCAAGTGTCTAGGTAGAGTTGATGTGTATTCCAAAATAATGGAAGCATTACAAGGTTGTAGGCAAGTACCCGGGGAGAACAAGTTGTGACCTGAAGCACATTTGTCTTATATGATTTTTCAGGTTCTTGTCAAAACTATGAGGTGAGTCACATAATGCTCAGTAATGAAACATTGCTTGTAAACAGGTAGTGATAACTGTTTGCTTCCTGTAATGGGGGTAATTACACAATGCAGAGCATTGGATTTTCTAGGTATGTAAAAGGGATCCCTGATGCTTAAGCTACTGTGTATTTTGTAGGTAATCCATTCAGGTTTTTGGGCTAGTTTATAGAGACCAGGTAAGGTTGTATTAACATGTAAAACACCTTGGTATTTTCGGATATCAACTTTATTAATGTTTTACACAATATTAACTTAAACTTGTTTTTCACATTTATGCAGTTAAAAATAAATACGCCTCTAGTAATACAAATAATCAAGAGAATTTATTGCATGTCTTGACAGATAATGAGTAATGAACACTTACAGGGCTACACAAATCCACAGACATCTAGATTAACCGTATTGTGCAACATCATGAAATTAACAACAGGAATTATGCAGGGATCTAATCAAGAAAGTACAAGGATTCTTAAAAGGAGTTTTCCTCAAATTTCTACAAGTATCGAGGTACATTTGATGAATACAAAAATAATAAAAGTGACCAGAAAAGATTGGAGGTATATAGGTAGAATGATATGTGTACCAGTCACACTATTCACAATATATATTTCAGATTTACATTAACATATCATAATAAGCCTATCAAAACTAGGTAACATGGGACATTATTGGCGGAGGTAAGTGCTGATGCGGGCCTAAACTACAGCGTCACAGAGACTAGTTCACTGATGACGTGTCCCTACACGTCTTCCTGCCGTGACTTTTTCCCAGGTATCAGGTGAGAAGTGATTGAGTCCTAACCAGTCTCAGATAGGCTGGGTTTTCTAATTTTCTCTTTCACTGAAAGTGTATGCTGACCCTGTGAGTGTTGAGGGATTGCAGGTAACCAGGTATTTATCACTGTATTTCCCACCCCCACTGCTGCCCCTAGGATTTGTGGAGGTGTCCAGTTGTGAAATGGTAGTTTTCAGCTGTCAGGGTCAACGTAGGATTACTGCAAGTATCCAGGTCTAGTGGTGTGTCCCATAAAGCTGGAAGAACTCAAGGTTCTTTGCTGGAGTCCTGGTGGAAAACCCCGTGTCCTTCTACATATATATCTTCGTGCCTATTTCAGCCCCCTACCATGACATCACAATGAATATGGTAACAGGTCTGGAGGTCAGCACTGATGAGGGCTAAAAGCAACGCATGGGCCACGTGAGGTTCAGCTGTCTAGGAAAGTGATGATGGGTCCATCCTTCCTGTTGTTCCCAAGATTTCGCTTCAGTTGTCCTAGGAAAAAATGGTAAGACTCCCTGGCGTACTAAACCGTGAGTTTTCCCTCTGCATGTGACTAACCTGTGAGTGCAGTGGGACAACAAATACCAGGTAATGATCCGGCTTTCCCAGCCACAGCAGTGACCATGGACATTTTGCAGGTGTCCTGTAGAGAGAAATGCTGTCTTCTGGGATCATGGCCCTGAGCTTGGGGACACTGTCAGCATACAGGTAAGAGTCTTTCAGTGATGGATGTAAGCAGCGTGATTTGTAGGTGTCCTGGTAGAACAGTTTATGTGTTTCTGAGGCATATATCTCAGTGTATGCTTTCCAGGTTCCTGGGAGGAAATCCTGACTAACCAGAGACATGATCAGGGGACATGTCTGCTATCTGGGTAAGTGATGGTGTGTGCTGTAAACTCACCACAGACCATTTGATCTTAACGTATTAGGTCAGTGAGGTTCCTTTCCCTGAACGGTTTACCATGTGATGGGTTTATGGGTATTCCGGTAAGAAAGGGTAGTAGCTCCCCATTCTCCTTGCCATGTGATCCTGTTGTTTTCAGTCCAGGAGAGAACGTATGAGGTATGTACCCTGTGAGTGCTGATTGATTGACACGTGCCAGGGAATTCACATGGCACTGTGCATCACAGGAGTAACCGCGGTGGATTTGCAGAGAAGCGGGCCAGAGAAAATGGCATGTCCTACAATGGCCTAGACCTTGGAGGGCTTGCAAACATCCAGGTACAATTTTGGCTTCCACAATGATGACTGTGTCCATAGACACATTGGTCACATATGTGGTTTTAGGTTCCCTTGGAAAGGTCACAGGAAACCTCTTTGTGCTTGAGCAGAGGACTGTGCCTGTATTTAGGTGGGTGACGGCATGGGCCTAAGCAGGCCATGGACTATCCAATCTTCCCATACACTGATAAATACAGATGACTTTCCGGCTCTTGTCCCTGTCCTGCCATGGTTTCCTCAGCTCATTTTCTATTCTTTATTTTCTGCAGTTATTCAGTTAAGAAATGATGCTTTGCCAACCAAGACTGGTAAGCATTAGTCCTTGCTGTGTTCAACTTTAGGAAATGTGCCTTGAACCTGAGTCCATGTTGACTGAGGGAGATGTGGGTGTCCAGGTAAATTATCCTACTCTACCAGATCACAGGATGGAATGATAGTTCTGACACATCCTCAGTCTGGAGTCAGTAATGGTGCCAGCAGTGGGGTGGAAGTTGGAGTTCTGCCGGGATCTAGGTAAGGTCGACGGTTCCCAGATGACGGCAGTGACCAGGCTGTGTAGTGCGTGTCTTTTTCATCTTTCAGGTACACCAAGTGGCATCCCGGAAAATACCTGTCAGATGCATTTCTTCTGCTGCTGCTAGACATGAAATCAAGGCCGGCCTGAGAATGACCATTCAGGGGCCCTGGATTGTAACCAGGTAATTGATCACATGAGTCCTGTGCCAATATAGACCACCTGAAACTTCAGATTTCCTGGACAAAGAGGACGCTCTCCTTGACACAGTGTTTTTCCCATGGTTTCCTGCAGGGGTCCCGTAAAGTTCTCTTCCTGTAGAGAGGTAAGAGATGTTGTGACATTATCTCATGAAAGACATTCTGTGTTTCCTGCATGTAGGTAAAATTAATGGTGGTTTTGAGTCTGGTAGAGTAACCTTGTGTTTGGCATATGTGTCATTGGGAAAAAATAAGTAGTGATTCCCAATGCCAGTAAGCATGAGATTTTACTGTTTGCTTATTCAGAGGTAAGGCTTTTGTTTGTTTGTTTGTTTGTTTTTTGCAAATTTCACACTCCACACAATAGACAGATATGCCAATGCCCAGGTAGTTGATCATATTGTCTGTCACGCCGATGTGGACTGTGGTGTTTCTGCAGGTATCCCTTGTAGGCTGTAGCCTCAGAGTTCTTGTGTTATCCAGGTAACTTTGATGAGTCGTGAAATGATGCCAGTGAACAAGAGTATTTGTGATTGTCCTTGTAGCACAGGTTGTGGATCAACCACAATATGTCTTTCAGATGTGTGTCAGGGCATCACAGCAGGCCTTTCAATCCTAGGTAATGTGGGCATTGCTGGGTGAGGTAAGTGCCACAGCCTGCAGCGTGGAACTGTCATAGAGACCTAGTTCAGTAATGATGTATCCCTACATGTCTTCCCATCGTGATTTCTTTCCCAGGTATTCGGGAGAGAAATGATTGAGTCCTTACCAATCCCAGATAGGCCGAGTTTTCCCATTTTCTGTTTCACCAAAAGTATATGCGGAACCCTGAGAGTGTTGAGGGATTGCAGGTAACCAACCAGGTATCTATCACTGTGTTCCCCACCCCTGTTCTGCCAATAGGATTTCTCCCAGTGTCCAGTCAAGAAATAATGGATTTCTGCATAGATTTTGACCCTGTATCACTGAAATTGTGCAGATAGATTTGATATGTCCCATAATTGTGGAAGTGGCTAAGTTTATCTGCTGTTTTTCTGCATACCTGCATATCCCTCCCTCACTATAAGACTAAACACATTATAACTAAACTCTAAAAATAATGACTAATGCTTACCAGCATTGGTTGGGAAAATATAATTCCTTAACTAAATACCTGAACAAAATATGGCAACACAAAAATTGGGAAAACCTACATATCTGTAGATCACAGTGGTATTGATCTTGCATTATTACAAGTATCCAGGTAGAGTTATGTGTTCCGTAATGATGGAGTGACCAAGGTTATTTTCAGATGTCGTCTTGGTGGAAATGTTTGTGTCCTTTAGCACATATTTCACAATGTGTATTTCAGGTTTCTGTAGTGAGACCCTGATAAACCTAACAATGGTTGGTACGGCAGACATTTCTGTTATGCAGGCAAGTGATGATGTGTTCTTTAACCACATCATAGACCATCAGATCTTCATATATCTTTTTTTTTTTTTTTTTTTTTTTTTTTGACAGAGTCTTGCTTTGTCGCCCAGGCTGGAATGCAGTGGGGTAATCTCGGCTCACTGCAGCCTCCACCTCCCATGTTCAAGCGATTCTCGTGCCTCTGCATCCTGAATAGCTGGGATTACAGGTGTGCACCACCACGTCCTGCTAATTTTTGTATTTTTAGAGATGGGATTTTGGCACGTTGGCCAAGCTGGTCTCGAACTCCTGGCCTCAAGCAATCCACCCACCTTGGTCTCCCAAAGTACTGTAATTACAGGTGTGCACCACCGCGCCCGGCCAGATCTTCATATATCTAAGTAAGTGGTATACATTTACCTAAACTTTTTTAGCATGTGATTTTTTCCGTAGGTACTCAGGTAAGAAATGATAGTCTTTACCAACTGTAGCAACCATGTTATCCTGCTGTTTTATATTTTAGAGAAAATGTATGTTTAACTTTGTGATTGTTAAGCTATTTGCTATCCAAGGAATTAACCATGGAGTTGCATGTCATAGTAGCAATTGTGGGTTTGTTTGCAGGTAAGTAGTAAAGAGAAAATGGTATCTCTAACAGTGCTATAGACCTTGGAGTACTGCAAGATTTCAGGTATACTTGATGGTTCTTGCAATGGTGGTAGTGAGTAAGCTTAATTGCAGGGTTCTAGAAAAAAAGCTGTGTCTACACATATTTGTCATAATGTGTTTTTAGGATCCTGTCAAGAAGTCATGGTAAATCTCATCATGATCAAGAACGAGACTTTGCTTGCATCCAGGTAAGTAATGAGGTAGGCCTTAAGCAAGCACTCAGAAAACAATCTAATCATCAGATGTATAATTAAGTGTGGATGGTGCCTCTACCTTTTGTGTTACCATGGTTTTTTTGCAGGCATTCAGTTAAGAAATGTTTTCCCCACCAAGGCTAGTAAGCATTAGCCCTTATTATTTTAGAATCTAGATATAATGTGTAGTACCTAACCAAGCTGGGCATAGTTGCATGTGCCTATAGTATGAGCTACTCTGGAGGCTGACGCAGGAAGATCACTTGAGCCCAGGAGGTCGAGGCTGCAGTGAGCTGTGATCACACCACTGCACTCCAACTTGGGTGACAGGACAAAACCCTGTCTCTTAAAAAAATAAAAAATATATAATGTGTGTTTAACATTAGTCTCTAAGGAGGGCTATGCCGGTATCCAGGTGAGTTATCCTACTTTTCCACATTATAATATGACCAATGAGATTTCTAAGTCAAGCGATAATGGTTTCTCTAACATTGGTGTTGATCTCAAAGTTCTACTAAGATCAAGGTAGTGTTGGTGGTTCCTCTAATGAGGAAAATGACTGATACAAGTTGCAGGTGCCCCCTCCTTTTTTGCAGGTAAAACAGCGTGTTTCATTAAACATATTCCTTGTTGAATATGTTTCTTCAGGTACCAGTAGTCATGAAATCATAGTGAACCTAACAATGGTCATTTATGGGTTCTTGGTAGTAACCAGGTCAGTGATAAATTGGGTCTTACCACACTACAGACCACCTGTTGTTCAGATTTTTAGGTAAGTGAGTATGGTCCCTCTAACACAGTGTTACTGTGTTTGTCTTTTTCAGGCTTCCCAAAAGTTGTTTGGTAGTATACAGGCATGAGGTGGTGTGACTCTAGTTCATTAGATGCCTTCGTCTTTTCAGTTATGTAAGTAATGAATGGTGTTTTCAGGACCGTTATATAAACCTTGTTTATGGCGTGTATGCAGTTTAAAAATCAAAGTATCCCTAATAGTAACAGGAACCATGAGTTTTTAATGTATTTTTCTTTTGAGATAATGTGTATATAACACTTGTACTGATAGACATATATACAGGTATCTTGGTATTTTATCATATTGCTCATCACCACATTATTGGCCATGGGATTTTTGGAGGTATCTGTCAAAGAGTGGACGGTGCCTCTTTCTATAGTTTGACTTTGTAGTTCTGCCCTTATCTAGTGTTTATGGGCCCCAAAAGATTCAAGAGACCAAGGGAATTTGTAGTTCTACAAGTAGAATTAGACTAGTACCAAACCCATTTCCCACAACGTGTTTTCCAGGGTATGTCCAGAGATCATGGTGAGCCTATCTATGGTAATTAATATGTGATATTGCTGGTTTTGAGGTAAATGATGATGGAGAGACCTAAACCAGAGCACAGGTTATCTGATCTTCATATAGGTATAATTGATGGTTGTGTCCCTAACACTTGATGTTACCATGATTTCTTTTTAAATATTCAGATAGGAAATTATAGAGTTTTTACCAATTCTCAAAACCACGAATTTGCCCTTTTTATATTTTAAGAAAACATTTGTTTAACTCTTTGAGTGATAAGGAATTGGACATACCAGGTAATTATAATTACTAGTCACAATAGTAACCATGGGATTTTTACAGGTGGCCTAAAACAAATGTTGTCTTATCCAACAATGGTCTTGACCTTGTATTACTACAAGTATCCAGGTAGAGTTGATGTTTTCATAGTGATGGAAGTGACCAAAGTTATTTGTAAGCATCCCTATAGATAGAACACATTGTATCCCTTTATATGTGTGTGTGTGTGTGTGTGTATACATATAAAGTTATTTGCAAGCATCGCTATAGATAGAACACATTATATCCCTTTATACGTGTGTGTATATATATCATAATGTGTTTTTCAGGTTCCTGTCAAGAGATTATAACAAACCTAACAATGGTCATTATCAGGAGCTGTTTTGGTATCCAGGTTAGTGATGATGTGCACTTTAACATCACAGATCATCTGGTCTTTACATATCTAGATAAGTGATGTTTGTTTGCCTAAACTTGTTTACCATGTTATTTTTTAAAAAACAATTCTAGTAACCATGTTACCCTATTGTTCTGTGTTTTAGAGAAAATTTATTTTTTACACTGTGGGTGTTTTATGAGTTGCAGGCATCCAGGTAATTTTCATATGTTCTGCATCACAGTATTTCCATGGTATTTTTAAAGGTGTGCAGTCAGAAAACGATGGTGTCTTTAACCATGGTATAGACCTCGTATTACAGCAAGTTTCCAGGTAGAGATGTATCCTGCAATGATGGAAGTGAATAAGATTATTTGCAATTGTCCAAGTTGAAAAGGTGTGTCTGTATCACATTTGTCACAATGCGTTTTTCAGGTTCCAGCCAGAAGATCATGTTGAACTTCATAATGACCATTAATGGGGGCTTTGCTTGTAGACAAGTGATTATGTGGGCCTTAAGCATCCTACAGATCATGGGATCTTCAGATATCTTGGTGAGTATACATGGTATCCCTAACATTTGTGTTATCAGAGGTTTTTTGCAGGTATTCAAGTAAGAAATGATAGCGTCCCCATAAACACTCTGAAGCAATAAGCCTTTCTGTTTGAGTTTAGGTATGTGTTTAACCTTAGTAGTGACTACAATATATTCAGGTATCCAAGTAAGTTACAATTTTGTCCAACACCTATATATTGACCATGACTTTTTTTTGCAGTTATCTTGTCAAGACGAGAATATGCCTCTAACTAGGTTGTCGACCTGGAACACCTGAATGTTTCCAGGTAGATTTGAAGGGCCCCATAATTATCAAGTAACCATAGAATTTTGCAGGTGTTCGTATAGTACATGCATTCTTAACACAATTTTTATCATGATTTTTTTAAAGATTCGATTAAGAGATGATGGTGCTTTCTCTACTGTGGTTAAGGCCCATATCATCTCTTAACTGATTCCAGCAAAATCACAAATGAAATATTATTGTTAGTTGATCCATCATCTCTTGATTGCTGTTTTTGCAGATGTCCACTCAAGAGTTACTGGTGTCTCTAACTACAGTGTTGATCCTAGATACTTGCTAGTATCTAGGTAGATTTTATGTTTTTTTTTTAAGTTTATAGTGCCCATAGAATTTCCAGGTGTCCAGGTTATAGGTTTGTCCTTAAGCACTGTTGTCTCTTTGGGTTTTTGTAAATTCCAATTAAAAGATTATTGAAAGCCTCCCTATGGTACTGAAGGCAAGATTTTGCTTGCATCCAAATACAAGATGATGTTAGTACCAAAGCTGATATCCAGGTAAGCAATACACGTGTTCTTAAGCCAACATAGTGACCAAATTTGTTTGCTAGTATTCTTGTAAGTTATGTTGACTAACCACCATAGCGACCAGGGAAATTTTGCAGATATCCTGTTAAGCTATGAAGATGCCTGTAACTAAGGTGTTTTCCTCGGAAATGCGCAGGCATCCAGATAAGAGTTGATGGTGTCCCTAATCAAGATCATGACCACGGGATTTTGCAGTTAGGCAAGGAATGATGTGCCCCTACTGTGATGTTTATTTTGGCCCTTTTAGGTGATCAAGTTAGAGATGGTGTTTATCTAATACATTAGCAACCATGAGGTTTTTGCAAGTATCTAATTAGAAGATGATGGTGTCTGTATATACAGTGCTGACCTCTGAATTTTGCATGTATCCAGATAAAAGTTGTTCTGTCCCTTACCATGTTAGTGGTCTTAGGATATTTTAGTTGTCCAGGTAAAGAGCGACGTGTCCTTAACAACATTAGTTACCATGCGATATTGCATGTGTCCAGTTAAGAGATGATAGTGGCCCTAACCATGGTACTGACCATGAATTTTTGCAATTTTCCGGGATATAGATAGTGTTTCACTAGCTTCAGTATTGACCATGTGGTTTTGCAGCCATCCTAACAAGAAATTATGTATCCACAATTCTGTTTTTTATCCTCAGATTTATTTAGGTATTCTGGAAAGGGATAATGGTGTTCCTAACATTTATTGACCGTAGGCTTTGCAGATACCCAGCCAAGAGATGATGGTGTCTCTATCAATGTTGGTGTCCATGGGAATGAAAGAAAAATGGAATTTTTTGTCAACTCTATATTTTATTAAATTAATTCTAACATTAATATTACATACTATTCAGTCCTTTTTTTTTTTTTTTGAGACAGGGTCTCGCTCTGTCACCCAGGCTGGAGTGCAGTGACTCAATCATGGCTCACTGCAGC